AGGCAGGAGGCCGCTTCACAATGGTCACCTGGGCGACAGGGCTGGGGGCCAGCCGGCCAGGCCCTCTTATAAGCTGAAGCCCGAAGCAGCAGCGCCGACCCGCAATGACGGCCGCTCAGAAATGCAGCTTCTTCCCGCAGGACCCGTACTACATCCCTGGGTGAGTCCGCGGGCTCCGGGCTGGAGGCCCTTCCGCCGCTGAAGAAGCATGAGTTAACGTTACCGCCCAAGCAATGCCAGTCTCCCAGCAGAGCTTCCACCTACAGAGGCAGTATACCCCCGAGTGCCCAGACACTAAGACTGAGAGGCAGGAAGGCTGGCTGATCCCCGAGTGCGCCAGCTACACGCCAGTCTCCCGGAAGGCGTGCTCCATCTGACCCTTTAATTCCTCCTTTCTCTGAACTGCGCCCATCACGAAAACTTTCTAACTTAAGAACCAGGTGGGCTTTCTCCCGCCATTTCTCCCAATCCCTTTTCCGTTCTCTTTCAGGGAAGGCCCCTAAGATTCTTTATGGATTTCCTAAACCAAACCACCTGCCATGGCAGATCCCTCACAATATTGGTGCCAGGCGACTTTTACTGATACTAAATGAATGCCCTTTTTCTGACACGCCAACCTGGGGATTCCATTCCTTTTACCTGCTTGTGCCTCCCAAGATATGGGGGCTTTTACCCTCAGGTCCGCTACCATGTTGGGCAAAGCTATGGCAGAACCACCTCCAGAATGCTGACCGACCCTGAAGTCCGCAAGAGCCCGTGCTCTGTTCTCGCACCTCTGAAAAGACCCAAGTTCATTGAAGACTTCACCCAGCAAAAACTCCCTGGGCAAGACAGGATGGATCAGTTCCAGTCGTACATCCCGGGATACACAGGTGTGCATCTCGGGGAAAGCTAGCAGAGCGACGCCACGTGCTTTTGTAAAAGGCTGGGCTCTGCTCCCATGCCATTTCCGAGTGGGAATAGGCTCTTGTGGGTCTGGGGGCAGACTCCTTGGTGTCTCTCCTGCTCCAGCTGAACTAAATAACAGCTCTGAATCGTGGCACAGCAGCACAGAGTCAGAACTACACAACTGCCTAAATAACAGAAATTGACAGAGAGAAGTTTTATCTTACCACCAAAAAGACTCTCTTGCAAAAAAGAACCCGGCAGGAGGACGACTGCCTAGTAGGTCCCATCCCTGGGCCAGCCTGCCAGGATCCCTCCTCCACCATTTGCTGGCCCCAGAAGAGTTGAAAACAGCAGGTTTTTCCCAGCTGCTTTCCCCGTTCAGGATTTTGGTCTTCTCCCTTTGTTTCCCTCTCCAGGCTTTGTACCCTACTGTGGTTGCTTTCCTATTCCAGGTCAAGACCTCCAGCCCCCTTTGCCAAGGGGGCTTCCCCTGCCCCATCCTCCCACATGGACAGAGGCCGATTCAGTGCAACGGGCAGCTCAGAGGAAGGTCACCCCCTGCCATCCTGGCATCCGGCTGGCTTGCGGGCCGGGATGGAGGCAGTTTGCAGCCACAGCCAGCTCCCAGCTGGTCTCACCGAAAGGCGACCAGAGGTTTCTGTGCCATCCAGACATTGCGTTGGTGTGTGGTCAGGAGGAGTGCCGAGGGCCTTGTAAGGCTGGCATGTCCTTGGTGTGCGGGCAGGGCTGGAAGGGGCCTCCTTGCCGCCCAGGAGCTGATCAGGTATGTGCACAGAAATGGACTAAGTAGATGGACAGCTTCCAGGGCTGTGTGCTCTGCGATGAGCAGGCCACAGAAAAGAGCCCCTAGCTCTCCCCTCCTCTCCTGGGGAGATTCCCGTCCGCAGCTGGGGTGAAAATGGCAGTCGAGATCTGGGCCTGATTTCAGCAGTAGTTAGTTCCTGGGGGGTGCAAACCGTTTGTCCTTTAACTGACACACTTTACTGCATTCACATTACATTTGGTTGGGAGTCTTAAGTGCTAGTTCGTTACCCCTAAAACCCTGAGGGTGCCACAATTTCCTTATGAATCTGCCCAGACCATGATACCAGCAAGAGGAGCCCTTTCTAACAATACTTTCTTTGCACCCATGGGACCCAGTCTGCCAATGCTGGTCCAGACAGGAGCTATGGGAATTCCATCTGATGCTGTAATGCAGTGCTTCCCAAACTTTTTCCTTTGTTACCCAAAACTGCTTATCAGAAAGTCCTTTTTACTTAAATCAATTTAAATGCGATGGGTAATTGGTTCATGTGTCGTTACCCAAAGAAAAACCACTTTTACCCAATTTTCAGCAATTTACCCAGGTGTGGGAAGCACTGCTATAATGCAAGAACCAGCAGGGCTGCCTGACAACACTCCAGGCTAGGGAAATCAGGACTGACCAAATACCACCTTTTTTTGCACAGTTTAGCCAAAAGAACTCACTAGCCCAAGATGGGATGTTTAGAACTGGTTTCAGTTGCTTTGAAAGGTAGTGACATTTTTACTGGAGGAAGTCAGACAAAACTGTTCCGTGGTTGTTCCTTTGGGTCTCAGCCAACCAGGACCGAAGGAGTGCCTCTGCCACTGCCAACGGAAACGGTTGATGTCAGGCGGTTTGACCGGACCCCCAAGCTGGATCTGCCCAACCTCATCCAGCGAAAAGCCATCTCAGGTGAACTATTGGCAATGATCAGATGAATCTCTTACCGGTAGACTTGTGCTATCCAAGTCTGCCTCCTATCTTCAGACTCCCCCCTCCCAAATCAATCACACCAACAGAGCGCTCAGTCACTGTGGGCCTTGCAGGATCAGGACTCCGCAGGGTTCTTTGGGAGAACATCAGAGGTCCTGCTTCTTTAACAAGGCTTAGAGAAATAGGATCGGAAAAAGCACACTGAAACACACTAGGCTCTTTTCCTTCTGGGAAAAAAAAACCTTGAGGAATGAAGCAAAGCTTTCCTAGCTAACAGCCTGCCTCTCCCTGCCCCAAGCCTTCCCCAGATGCCTCAGCCAGTCCCCCACTCTTGGGCAACTAGCCCCAGCATGCAAAGCTGGGAAGGGGAGTGTTAACGCCTGCTTCTGCCCGATGCCCTCCAGACATGCTGATGAGGTGGCCAGGAATTGTAAGAGCTCGAGTGTAACTTGGGGAAGAGCAGAGAGGTGCCCAATTTCACCTTCAGTCCCCTTTTGATTCTCCTTTTACTGGGCAAGATTGGTTAAAAAAAAAAGTCACAGCCGCACACCCACCATTATTCTGGGCCTAGAGAGAGCAAAAAGCGGCTCTGGCATCCACACCCTCAGGGCCTGAGCAGCTCCATTTCCAGTCAAGGCTCTCACTTCCCTGGACTCTTTCACAGGATATGCTGGATTTATCCCGTGCTTCACCTGGATTATGGGAGTCAACTACCTGAAGGGAGTAAAAGATGCCATGAACAATTTTGATAGAAACCAGGTAATACTTGGCGGGGGGGGGGTTGAGCACACCCTCCTCCTAAAACAGCCCAGAACCCTCGGCACTGACACCTCCTGGAGGCAAATAAGCTGGTCCCCAGAAACCACTTACCTCTGGAACCCTAGGGCAGAATCCTAGACCAGGGTTCCAGCTTGATAACCCTTCCATCTTATCCCTGCAACAATACATCTGCGCAGCGGAGCCAGCCAGGGGGGTAGAGCATCTGGTCCTTCAAGACCAAACTTAGCAGACCCCAAAGTGAGCTGTCAGCTCTCCTAACACCTGCTCATCCTTCCCCAGGAACGGCTGAGAAATCCCATGTACAGCTTTGGCCAGCGCCTGCCCCGCACTTACTGGCCTAACACAAAGATCTACACCAGCAGCGGCTTGGTCCCATTCTACACAGGGTTTGTGCCAAGTAAGTCATGGAATTTCTCAAGCTAAGACAAGTTTCTCCCCCCCCTCTAGCGAGATCCGTTCAAAATAACACATTTACTCCCAGAGCCTCTCCCCCAAACCGCTGCCTCTGGCTACACAGAACTGAACAAGCTGAGGTCAGACAGCAGCTGCAATTTTGGCTTGGCCTGCCAAGTCCTGGTTATGGAGCATAGAGGGCAATAGCACCACTTAACAAGTTTAGTGTATCTTTCAGCCAGTAAGATCCTTAGCAACCTTTCAAGACATACGACCTGTAAAAAGAAATCTTTCTGTAACTGCTTCTGCCTGCTAAACTTTTACCCAGAGGAAGCATAGCACAGAACAGCGTTTGTTAAACCTTTACGCCTGTTTTCTCCTCTGACTTACCGCTCAATCCTACCGTGTTCCCACATGTCAGAAAGAACAAGTTGGAACACACAGGGCTGCTCACTTGGATTTCTTCTCCCCAGCTATCCGGCAAAGTTATGCCCTAACTTTTGGCAACAGCACCCGGAAAGCTTACTATGACGAATTGGAGCGGAGACAACATACAGGATGAAAATGTTTTTAATGTCTGTACAGCATCAGACAGGTGACATAAAGAAAACGCAGCACAAAGAAACAGAGAAGAGGTCTGGAACGAATAAAGTTTGTGACACCTTTAAACAGAATGTACAGGTGTGGCCCTTAAGCTGCTTCTTCCTCCGCTTCTTCTTCAAACTCACCCTCCTCCTCAGCTGTCGCATCCTGGTACTGCTGGTACTCTGAGACCAGGTCGTTCATGTTGCTCTCTGCCTCAGTGAACTCCATCTCATCCATACCCTCCCCAGTGTACCAATGCAGGAAAGCCTTGCGGCGGAACATAGCAGTGAACTGCTCCGAGATGCGCTTGAAGAGCTCCTGGATGGCTGTGCTGTTGCCAATAAAAGTGGCAGACATCTTGAGGCCACGGGGGGGAATGTCGCAGACAGCGGTCTTCACGTTATTGGGGATCCACTCCACAAAGTAGCTGCTGTTCTTGTTCTGAACATTCAGCATCTGCTCATCGACCTCCTTCATTGACATTCGCCCACGGAAAACTGCCGCAACCGTGAGATAGCGCCCGTGACGGGGGTCGCAAGCTGCCATCATGTTCTTGGCATCAAACATCTGTTGGGTGAGCTCAGGCACTGTCAGGGCACGATACTGCTGGCTCCCACGACTGGTCAGCGGAGCAAAGCCAGGCATAAAAAAATGGAGCCGAGGAAATGGGACCATATTGACTGCTAGCTTGCGTAGATCAGCGTTGAGCTGGCCCGGGAACCGCAGGCAAGTGGTCACCCCGCTCATTGTGGCTGACACCAGGTGATTGAGATCGCCATACGTAGGAGTGGTCAGCTTCAGGGTCCGGAAGCAAATATCGTAGAGGGCCTCATTATCAATACAGTAGGTCTCATCTGTGTTCTCCACCAGCTGGTGGACCGACAGAGTGGCATTGTAGGGCTCAACTACAGTGTCTGACACTTTGGGGGAGGGGACAACGCTAAAAGTGTTCATAATCCTGTCTGGGTACTCTTCACGGATCTTGCTGATCAGGAGTGTCCCCATGCCGGAGCCAGTGCCACCCCCCAGGGAATGCGTGAGCTGGAAACCCTGGAGACAGTCGCAGCTTTCGGCTTCTTTCCTCACAACATCGAGCACAGAGTCAACAAGCTCCGCCCCCTCCGTGTAATGGCCCTTGGCCCAGTTGTTGCCCGCTCCGCTCTGACCTGCAAAGGAGGCGGAGTGGGGGAATGAATGAGTGCCCGCTAAGCAAACCCCTGACGCTCTGCCACGGGAATTATGCACGGAATCCTTTTTGCAAGGGCGGCTCCCCTTCAACCGAACAAGGACAATCATTTAAACCAACTACCAAACCAATTATAGAAATGCAAGAGTTTCAGAGACCCTAAGTTTGGCCAAGTGCTGCCAGTAAAGTCCGTAAGCGACCTTGGCTCTACGAGGTTATATCCCAACATGTTGAAATTATGGAACTCCAAGTTCACACTGTTGTACAGGTCGTGCAGCTCTTCACACATTTAGGGCTGAAACACAAATGACGTGCCAGCCTCGCTCTCGAGCTTGGGCACACCCTGTCGCTCTGCCACAAATGAAACAGGGCTTTTGGCAATCGTACTTTAACAAGACCTGCCTGAGTCATCCCTCCCCAGGAAAGAATTTCATTCCAAAGAAATCATCATCGCCCAAGTGAACGACTCTCGCGTCAACGGTGACTTTATCTCCTAACTTCCAACTGTCCAGTGCCAATAAGCAAAAGTTGAAACATGTAGAATTTGGGAAACTCTGATGCCCCAGGGGCGGGCCCCGCATCTAGGCTCCGGAACCGCTGAGCCGACCCTGTTCTACCTTTCTCAGGCAAAAGTGCCTGCGTTTCCCCAACGCGCAGAACCACAAGCACCAAGGCCGCTTGTCCAGGCAGCCGGTCGGTGCCCCCCCATGGCACCCCCTCCTGCAAACACGCTGCCTGACCAGCAAGCGGGAGCTACGCACCAAAAACGAAATTGTCGGGGCGGAAGATCTGCCCGAAGGGGCCAGAGCGCACGGAGTCCATGGTGCCAGGCTCCAGATCCACCAGCACAGCCCGAGGGACGTACTTGCCACCTGCGGAGGAAAAGCAGCTGAGCGCCCGAGAGCAAAGCACGGCCGGGTGGAAGCAGGGCCCCGAGACCCAAACCCACCCCCGCTT